CTTCGTTGATTTCTTCGAAACTGCTAGTTTTAGAAAGATTGCATACAGGGTTAAAATTTTCCATTAAAAGCCAAGGAGTGGAGATCTCTCTTGAAATATGTCGTAGTTGAGACCATAAAATCCCCCCAATTGTATTAGCGACATATACTATAGGGAGATGAAAAGATACATTGTTAAATTGGTTCAAACACTGCAAAACACTGACTACTATGACTCTTTAGCTTGCCCACTCAACTGAGCATCAAGAAAATCCAAATTCTACCAGCAGGGTTATCACAATAACTGTGAACCTGTTAGAAAGTCGATAATTTGCAATAGTTGAGTCAATAGACTCCCTAACTCTAGTTCTAAAAGACAACAATTGAAACATCATTCTTAGAATCTATTTTTCTTTTCAACTTCTTGATGCTTATGAGGCTTATTAGCGCTCCTAGTATTCCAGTGTCGCATATTCATATAGGAAGAATGGATGAGTTGGGTTCACCAGTCAATTTTTCAGCATTACAGCTTCGTTATTCTTCCTTCACCTCTACTTCTGCACAATCTTCTAACTTCAATCGCTTTCTTGGAAGTCCTCCAGACAACCACAACGTCATCCGCATGGGGAAGAATGGAATTGTCCTCATTCGATACATATGGAGACTTTGAATCTGAGACCCCCTCCTCATTCATTTCCAAAGCACCAAATTTATTTGTCGATTGCACACTGCTTGCTGGCGTCTGCTGAGAATGGGGAGGCAACAAACCCTCAATCACAGTCTGATCAATACAGGCCCTAACCCCCCCTGACGAACCTACTTCTAAACCTCCTTTCTGTAAAACGTGGGATTGAAAAGTCAAAAAGAGAGAAAAGCAAAAAAAAAAAGGTTAAAAAGTCAACAAAAAGAGAAAAGAAAAGGGGCACGTTCAGCATAAAGAGACCGAGAGCTCGCTCGGGGGAAAAGAAAGAAAGGGTGAGAGAGAGAGAAAAAAACGAAGAAGGAAGAGAAAGAGGAGAGAGAGGCTTTGCACGTACTTGTCATGGATGCCTTGCCAAGCCGATTTAACTACATATTGCAATGTCTGATAAGTGCTCGATCCGCTTGTTTGTCCAATCGGAGAAATTTTCCGAATTAGGACACAAATTCGAAAATTTGTGAAATTCGAGTTGTGTAGTCCAATTTTTGAGTTATTAAGCCTTGGGATTTCATGGAAACTATCAATTATGTTGTTGTAAAGCCGTGGAGTTTGATGGGAGTTGATTTGAAGCAACGGTTTGGTCAAAGCGAAATTTTAGGGTTCACGCGTGAGTTTCATGCATTTACGTTGAATATTCGTTTTGAGTGTTCGATTTGTTGGCGCGTAAAAGTTGTTTTGTTAGCACTTAAGCATAGTTTAGCCGGTTCGTAGTTGTTGTAGTAATTTGCTAAGTTTTGACATCGATTTTCGTTTAATTGTTAGGATTGCGAGAGACTCGGCGCTTATAATTACATTGTGGGTAGAGATGTGGGTCAATCCATATTTAATGATATGGGTCATATTTAATGATATGGGTCATATATGGATTAGTCTAGTTTTAATAAATGGATTGTTAATGGGTTTGAGTTCTAAACCTTTTTTACATGTGAGTTTAAATGGGTCTAAAAACAAACCCATTTATAACTCATTTACAACCCATTTCCAATCCATCCACTAGGTCCACACACACTCTCTCTTTATAAAAATATTTTTTAAAAAAATCGAAATTAATTTTATTTTTATTTTTATTTTTTTTTCTCTTTTTTTTTTCTTTCTTTTTCTTTTTTCTTTATTTTCGGCTAGTGACCGACCACCGCAACAGCTCGCGACCGACCACATGGGAGGGACGACCTCACCGGAGGCCAGCGAAGCACAAGCTCGCCAGATCGGCGAGCTTGTGCTTCGCCAGCCTTGGGTGAGCTCGAGCTCGCCGATCTAGAGAGGCCGAGGCCTCGTTGGAAAATTTTGTTATTCCATTGGAAAATGACTTCATGGAAAACATTTTTTAGAAATGTTGCATTTTCTACGAAATAAACGGAGACTCAATTTTAAAAAAAATTATAAAATTATCCACTAGCTTTGTATTGCATGGAAATATTTTAGTATTATAATTTGTGAAAAATCATAAGAAATAAGTTTTCCTAGATTTGATTAAATATATATGTATTTTAGCATTATAGGTCGGGTTGGGTATGGATTGGAATATTTACATTACAAATAAATTGATCATAAACGAATTAATAAATCAATTTAGATCGAATTCAAACTTGACCTGATTTACCCGTTTAACGAGTCTAGTTGTGGATATTTCACAAGTAAGTGGTGTTATATCCTCTGAGTGATACAAGCATGCGCGGGTGGAATAAGAAAGAGATACAATGATCGAAACACCAGAAAAGAACGTGTTGGAAAATTTTGTTATTCCATTGGAAAATGACTTCATGGAAAACATTTTTTAGAAATGTTGCATTTTCTACGAAATAAACGGAGACTCAATTTTAAAAAAAATTATAAAATTGTCCACTAGCTTTGTATTGCATGGAAATATTTTAGTATTATAATTTGTGAAAAATCATAAGAAATAAGTTTTCCTAGATTTGATTAAATATATATGTATTTTAGCATTATAGGTCGGGTTGGGTATGGATTGGAATATTTACATTACAAATAAATTGATCATAAACGAATTAATAAATCAATTTAGATCGAATTCAAACTTGACCTGATTTACCCGTTTAACGAGTCTAGTTGTGGATATTTCACAAGTAAGTGGTGTTATATCCTCTGAGTGATACAAGCATGCGCGGGTGGAATAAGAAAGAGATACAATGATCGAAACACCAGAAAAGAACGTGTTAGCCAAATAAAGGAGTTGAAAAGGCACCACCTATAAAGTATTTGCTAAATCTATTTCTGGTCAACTCTGCACCTTTATGAACTCGCCAGTTGCAGGTTACTCGCCGAGGGAAACTTGTGGTCCAGAGTCTACCTTCATCTATAAGATTGACCGTATCGCTACCCTAGTACCATCTCTTCCTTAATTGGCTAGTTAATAACGGCACGTTGCCAAACGTGCCAAATAATGAAAATTTCTGTTTTTTTATTTTCAGAATCAGTTTGGAAACAAAAATTCGTTTGTTAAATTTTTTGTGTCGGGACGCAATTTTGCAAAAAATTGATCCCAGATTCAGTTTTGGAACATAATCAAAAAGCAAAAAAAAGTAGCTTCTTGATTTTGGAACAATTTTTCCGGAACTGATTCTTCTTGATTTTCTTTTTTCTTTTTTATTTATTCTTCATCTTCTTCCCGGCCCACCGCCGGCGACCGGCCACCGGCTAGGGCCGGCGAGGTCGGCCTCGGCCTTGCCCAGATCTGGCAAGGCCGACCGCACATTCGCCACCCTTGGTGACGGCGAGGTAGGCCTCGCCAGATCTGGGCGAGGTCGGGCCTCGCCCAGCCATAGCGAGGCCGACCTCACCATCGCGACCGGCGAGGCCGGCGGCGAGGACCGTGACGCCCTCGCCGGCCCTGGCTTGTTGTCGGTCGCCGTCGCCGGCGCCAGCGACCGGCCATGGCCAAGGAGAAAAAAGAAAGAAATATTAAAAAATTCAAAATATTATTAATAAAAAGAAATTTTATGTAGTTACCAAAAATATTTCTGTTCTTTTTTTATTTTAAGAATAGAAATTTTGAGCAGTTATCAAATGCTTTCAAATATTTAGAAATTATTCCCGAATACAGAATAAAAAAAATTATTTTTGATCAGAATCTGTTTTTGGACACATAACGGTTGTCATGCGCAGTCCAAGTGCCCTTTTTAAGAACATGAAGACCGTCACTAAAACTGTTTTACCAACTCCCATTCATTCGCCTCGATTTTCGCATCACCCAACTTCGCCTTTCACTATGGCCGATGAGCTCCGACAGCATCAAAAGCCACGTTCAATGAATGTCCCACTTCGCTCGTACGGATCCATGTTTGTTCCTTCTCGCCCGAGACCATCAGGTCGTCGGATCATGTTCTTGAGATGTTTTCACTTTCATGGAGTCTCGGTTACGTGTCCTCTGACCTCATGTCTACTGCTGCAGTAGGGTAAGCTCAGCTGCGACGAGCTGCCGGCCGAAGAAGAAAGGAAAGCTGGGGCAAGCTGAAGAATGTGAATGCATGGTACCGGGAAGAAGCCGTTGAAGGACGATGAACGTCTCGCGTCGCCGGAAGCGGTACGAACCCCCGGAGGCTCCTCATTTCTTCAAGATCATACTCTCCGACACTCTCCAGAGTGGGAAGCTTGTATGTACCCTGCACTCAGTATCTCAGTTCTTGTTTTTTGTTTGGGGGGGTTTCAATGCGTCGAAGTATGAGTAGACATGCTTTGGTACTCTGTCCTGAAAATGGCAAATTTCGTCAGTGAGGTTTTTTCATAAGCGAGGACTTTAGTGTGCACTCGGTCCATACGAGCTCAGTTCGTCGCCGTCTCACGCGGGACCGGCGTGATCTAACTGTTGGGTGTGGTGCATTTCCGAAGATCTAACCGCGGTGATGCATTGGGTTCACATGGACTTGAAATTTCGTCGCAGATGATACCGAAGAGGTTCGTAGCAAAATATGGAAACCGCCTGCCGAACCAATTGCTTCTAAAAGTTGCAGGGGATGCAAATTGGCCAGTGGAACTAGAGAAGTGTGATGACAGGGTATGGATTTGCAAAGGATGGAGGCATTTCTTGGATTATTACTCCATCAATTTTGGACATTTGATAGTCTTTAGATATCAAGGGGGCTCAATCTTTCATGTCCTAATATTCGATAAAAGTGCGTCTGAGATAGAATATCCCCGGAAACCCATAGCTCCTGAAAAATTATTAGACCCCGAGATGGTCGAAATCGATGATGTCTCGACAGAAGTGGGGGAGTACACCATTTCGCCTAGAGAAAGGAGAAGGGAATTGAAGTCGCCATCTTGCTTGGCTTCACCTAATAAGCTGATGACAAAATCCGATCCCTGTGCCTGTTTGCCGATGCCACATTATGAAGCTAAAGGCTCTCATTCGGGAGATAGTAGGACTTCGAAGCTGAAGAAAAACGGGCGTTCTTATTGTTCGTCACCAGACTATGGTGGTATGATTTATTTCCCTCAAATATAACTTCTGTCTTCTTTCTATTGTTCAAGTGATTGAATAGGTCTCTTGTTTCACTTTTTTGCAGGCAGGATCAAAGAGTCTAAAAAAAGAGCAACCCCTTTTGAGCCGATTCATCTTAGATCTAGATGTCCAAACCCTCCTGATGCTCTGAAAAGGGCCAGGAAATTTAATTCAGAACGTCCTTCTTTCCTCATTGTTGTGCGGAGCTACTATCTCGAGTACAATAACGTGGTAAGAACTTATTCATTACATAAAACAGAGATTTCACAACGTTTGATGTTGACCTCACAGCAAGACTTTCTAACAACATTATTAGAATTGGGGTTAGTATCTGGTATAATTTTGAATTTGAAAGTGCATGCATGTGTCTATCGGGCTTCTGGGCAAAGGAGCAACAATGGAACAAGATGGTGTATTACAAGTGGTGATATGCATGGGATTTTCTAGTTGGTCTATGCACATCAAAAACTGTACAATGAGGCCTATTCAAAGACTTTGCTTACCAACTTAAGACACATTTACAGCTCCATGTCTTTGGTTTTTCCATGAAGCTTTCATCCTTGTCCTGATTTTTCTTGTTGCCCAAGTACTTTGTCAAAAAAGCGAGGGAAAAACAGTACTCCTTTATCATGTCCTAAGATTAGTTTCATTGTGTTCTTAGTGGTTTTTACAAACATGTACTTGATCAGCATGTACCTAGTGGATTTATGAAGAGCCAGATAAGCAAAAGCCTGGTAGTGGAAGACGCGACACTCAAGTTTCAGGGCAGGTCATGGACGGTGAAGTTCTTCAACTATCCAAATTACTATGGTGGAAAGTTCTCGACTGGTTGGACCATGTTTGCGATTGATACTTCCTTGAGTGAAGGAGATGTGTGCGTGTTTGAACTGATCAAGAAGAATCCGATGGTCTTCAAAGTCTCAATTTTCAGGCATGCCGATTAGGCACGAAGCGGCCATTGTGCGTACCACTAAGGAGGGCACATTTTGGTAACATCCTTGCCTCTCTCTCCAGCTGGCAGATTAGATCTAAGTTATGAAGATGCTGGTTGAATATGATCCTTTCCGTTTTCTGATCGGCACAAATGGTTGTGGAATTATGTATGGACCAGATGCTTTACTTTGATGAAACATCAAATTGGGTGTGCATTGTGTTTTGATGAAACAGTGGAGTCTGATTCTGAGAGCTCCTTTTTGACAGCTTACGCCTTGAAAATTTGTTGGAACTTTTCCTCACACGCACTCGTAAGAGCGGCTTACACTAGGCCCTGTTAATCGCACCTTGCTATGTATGTTGTGTTATGTGTGTGGTTATAACTCCTTGTCCGGACCAAGAGGACGAAGAGTCCATAGTAGGTATTTTATCACGTGTGCCTCTACAGGAGGTGATCGCTGGACAGGTCAGGACGTGCCCGGGTTCAAAGGTTGGGTCTAACGTGTTTTCCGAGTCCATCTGTAACATACATAAAAAATCTCGAACCAGACATGGCCAAAGTTTGGCGGGCCAGGCTTCTCATGTAAGGATGTTGCCCAAATCCGCCTGTTTTCCTCTCAAACCTTGGCAAGAAAAACAAACTGCCCGCTCATTGATCACCTCTACCATTTTTATAGATTTTTTACCTCCTAGAAGGGTATTCCCTACCTAAGAGGCTTCTTTACTTGTATTGAGCAGATCAATTTTGTGCTCTGAAGTCCAGTCTAGTTGATTCGGTCCACCACCTCAGTTTGATCTATTCTGCGTTTTGCACATCAATCGATTAGTTAGCACGTCAATCGATTTGGAAAGGGTACTTGACCTTTAGAATTGTGGAATTGAATCGATGAATAAGTCTAGCTACTTCTGCACTCTCAGGTGAACTTGAAACTTGTTTCCTCTGTGGGAAGTGTATAAATAAAGGCCACCAAACACTACTATCATCCTTCTATAAAAGTAACTGACTTCCATTTGATGAGTCCTATCGAGTATATTGTCGATTGCGAATGTTGTGCGCGGAAGCGTAAACGAGAGCAATGGAATCAGGATGCGAAACAGAGTAGAAGAAGAAAATCACACGAGAACTTTACGTGGTTCGGCCCGAGTTTCGGACTCTACGTTCACGAGGAGAGCCAGCAAACAATTCGCTATCAAACACAAGGTGAATTACAGAATTACAATGACTCGCGCTCAAGTGTTTCCTAGCCCTATAAGTACACTCGAAACCCACTGTGTTTAACCTCACGTAAAATACTCAAAATGGATGTAAATATCTTGCACAAACACAAAGTGATCAAGAGCACCTCCGCCTCTGCTTCATGCTCTCTCGTCCTGGGCGAGCTCTCTCTCCACCACTTCTTTTGCCTCTCGTGTCTCACGTTGATGTGCGCTCTCCCGTCTCTCTCTTCTTGAGCCCTTCAGACGACCTCTCCTTTCATAGGAGAAAGGGAGCAAAACAAGACAAATTTTGGGGCTTAGAAAATGTCAAGATCGGCGCCCAAAAATGATGACAAAAGAGAATACACATTCGGTGCCCACAAGACTTTATGGGCATGCAGGCATGGCATGTGTTTGCATTTAAAGAAGGGAGACAAATTGAACGTAGGAGACACGTATTTAAAGAAGTCCAACTTTCTTCTTCATGCTTCACGTTTACTTCATTTAATGTGAAGTTGGAGAAGACTCCTTCGATTCGGCTGAAGCATATCTCTTCTCTGACTTTCCTTGCAGTCCCATGTGAAGTCAAGGAAATTAGGAAGGCACGCGTGCTGGTTTCTTTGCTTCTTCCTTCTACGCGGAAGAGTCCGACTTCGAATTTGTTCATTCAGCTAGACTTGTATGTATTTGTTCAATCGGCTCAAACTCGAGACATATTTTAATTACACCTAAAATTTATGGTATTTAACCTCACGTAAACACTCAAAATGGATGTAAATATATGCACAAACACAAGGATCTTCAAGAGATTGAACACCTTCTTGCTCTCACTTCCCACGCGAACTACAGCTCTCACCTCCTTCTGATGAGAGCTTCTCTGTGTCTCCACCTTTGGCCTCACATTGTGGCCTCTCTCCGCCTTGCTAATTAGCTTCCTCTTCTTTATTTAAAGAAAGCGAAACTTCTTTGAGAGAAGTTTCTTTTTTAGTATTTTATGGTTAATTTAGTAAAGGGTAGTTTCGTAATTTACGTTTGATGTTCCTAACTGTAGGGTTTCGTGGGGTTATATAAACTTTTAGGTTTTAGCAGACTGGATAATTTGTTGATAAATATTGAGGGCAATTTTTTCTAATTTAGTTTTTTTTTAAAAAAGACAAGAAAAAGAGGCATGATGAGCCATCATTATTCTTTATTTTTTGTCTGCCATCATGAACCATGATGGTCGAAGAAGAGCTACATGATGGCCGTAGAAGAGCTACGTGCTCTTCATTTCTCCTCCTTCTCAGTCAAAGTCAACAATGATGTTTCTCCTCTCTTCAGAGAACAAAGTCAAAGAAGCTGCTCATTTTCTTCTTTCTTCCTGCACGTTCACATAGCCTTCGTAAAAGAAGACAAAAGGCAAGAAGGGAACGCATTTAAGCAAAGTGGGCCGCCGTCCACTTTCCTCCATTCACGCATTTAATGCATCAAAAGAAAGAAACAAATCATTCGGCTTCACCACGCTTCTGCTACGCCAAAAATTTAACGAGCATGCGAAGCGTGCTTCTTGATATATGGGCTCAAACTCGAGATATTTTAACACGATTTGTCATCTCACCTCAGAGCCTCTCTCTCGGTGATGTTACGGTTTAAGTCTATTGCGCCATGTCAACACTGTCCCGAAAGCACAAGCTAACTGTACAAATTTATTAAGGAAGAGGTTACATTTGGAGCTCAATAATCTAAAGATAAAGACGTGTTTTTTTTATTTGAATTGCTTGACTAGTGCTGTGGCGGAGAGGCCACTGTTATGAAAACCACTTTAAGTCTTATATGCATTCATGCAAATTTGAGCACGGCTCTTTTAAATCTATACTAGCAGCTCTTCCATCCTTTTCATTAATCAACAATGATATGCACTGTCTTTTTTTTTACTCCGTGGGCATCAGCATGGAGAACCAATTATTTGGATCCCATGAAAGACCCTACAAGGCTTTGGTTTGTGCAGGTGACCTTGACCCACAACAGTTTCACCCAATCGGTAGGATTCAAACGGGTGATCCTCCAACATTCTAGCTAACTGCGGCTATGCTGGGTTGATATACATTCTTTTTATTATGTACTTCGAAGAGTGTACTCCTCTCAAACAAATTTTGGTCTCACATCTGCAGGGTCAACATTACATGCGTTCTCTTTATTGATGCTGGGGCTGACATGCGTTCTCTTTAGACTCTTGCTTCCTAAACTCAAACCTAGCATCATATTCCTCTTCCAGTAATTGATGATCTTGGTCTCCTTGCATAATGCTGCTTTGCAAGCTTGAAAGTGGCAAACTCGACTTGAGCAGAATCTGCCCATTCTGCTCTCTATTAAATTACCTCAAAGCATTCTTAACATTTTTCAGCTTCTCAAGAAGGACAAACATAGGAGAGCCTCCATTCTCACTAGGCCAAGCTCCTTGAACAGTCTTGAGGAAGTCAGGTTGCTTAGACCAGAAGTTGAAGAACTTAGATGGTTTCGGAGGAGAATAATCATTTAACAATATTAGGACAATGATCAGAAACTCCTGGAGCCTGGAAATCCACAGTAGCAGAAGGAAACTGCTGAAACCATATATCATTGCCAAGGATTCCCATCAAGCCTGCGACCCGCAAATCCTTCCAAACTTCTATTGGTCATGGTAAATAGATCCTCAATTGACCGACCATCCTGGACCTGAGCATCCTGTAGAGTGTCCTGAAAATCCACAAGATCAGTATATTCTACATTACTAGTTTCAGAAAGATTGCATATAGTGTTAAAGCATCCCATCAAAAGCCGAGGAGCAGAGATCTGCCTTGAAATGTCTCTTGGCGAGATTGTAAAATCTGTCCAAGTGCATTTGCAGCATACACAACAGAGAGATGAAAAGATACACTATTACATTGGATCAAACAATGCAAAACACTGACCACTACACTCTTTTAACTTGCAACTCAACCAAGCATCAAAGAGAACCCAAATTCAACCTGCAGGGTTCTCACAAAAACTGCAGAGCCAATACATGTTTAAAGCGAATCATTTGCAACATAGAGGCATTAGACTCCTTAGCAACTATTTTATATTTATTTTAAACTTCTTTATGCTTATAGGTTTGTAAACGCTTTTAGTATTTCAGCCTCGCGTATTCATATTGAAGAATGGATGAACTGAGTTTACCAGTCTTTAACTTTTTCAGCATCGCGGTTGCGTCTTCATTCCTCTTCCTTCCTCTACATTCCTGCACAATCTTCTAACTTCAGTCCCATTCTTGGCCGTCATTCTAGTTTTCCCAAGGAGAAATCTTGGAAGTCCATGAGAAGCGACAAACGTCGCCCTCATGGGGAAGAATGAAATTCTCCACCTCATCAGATAACGCATGGAGACTTCTGAATTTGAAACACCCCTCGAGCGGCCCCATCTCATCCTCCTCACTCATTTCCAAAGCACCAAATCCATTTGTCAATTGCACACTGCATGTTGACACCAGCTGAGAATGCAAAAGGCATCAAATCCTCACTTTCCATCAGAGTCTGATCAACAGAGGTCCTACCCTCCTCAAGAACCTACTTCTTAACCGACTTTTTTTGCTTCAAAGTATGACAGAAAGAAACCCATGCACAAATTACGAGCAATGCTTGCATTTCTTGAAGCGCCAAGCAAAAAGTGATTCAAATTCAACGGCAGGCCAAATGGTATAATCTTTTACTTTTAGGGGCTAAACCTTAATTTATCATTACTACTTTTTTTTAGTTTTAGGGATCACACCTATAGAAAAAAGAATCAAATTTTAAAGAGCACGAGTTGTGCGAGCTTATAAAAAAACCGTCTCCCTTCGCTAAAGAATCAAACTTTAAACCCCTTAAAAAAGTAAATTGAACAAATAATTTACAAAAGGCTAATGGCACTAGAAATTTCAAACAGGTGCCTCATGACAAAAGTATAAACTATTTTTCATCCAATAAAAAATCTCAAACTAATACTCCAGACACATAATTTACCCTAAACTAATTTTCCTCTCACCAAAACTTCCAAACCGATTAGTCCGACCCAAATTTACCATTGGTTAGCACTCCTTCCAATACCCAATTAAAATGCATACGTGTCAACAAATGTGGCAGGTGACTGCAAAACGAATCTGCCGTGGAGAATGACAAATGTGATGTGGAAAATCCACTTGCATTAGCAACATTCCATCTAATATCCTGTCAAATTTCATACGTGTCAACCCACATGGGAGACAAGTTTAAGACAAATCTGATGTAAAGAATAACAGATCCGAAGTGGAAAATCCTCATGTGTGTGTTAATAGCATTCCATCTAACATCCCGTTCAAATGCATATGCATCAACACACTTGACAAATTTAACGTGGAAAATCCACGCATGTTGACAACAATCCATTCACTATCCCGTTAAAATGTATACTTGTCAACACAGGTGACAGATGGTTGTAATATAGATTTGACATGGAGATAATAGATCCAACTTGAAAAAGCAATTGTTTGCTACGTACATTGACACATACACATTTTGACAAGAAGTTAGACAATATGCTCAATGGAAGGTCGACTCGTGTCAAATGTATCAGTTTAAGATATTCATGGAAACGAAAAGTAGTTGGGGCAAATATGTCATGAGTATTAGTTTGACATTTTTTGTGAAATACACATTAATTTTGAGTGAATGCATCACTCTAATACGGGTTTGTGAATTTTTAATGATATTAACCCTTTACAGAAAATAGTACTTAATAGAAAGGGACTCGGGGTAAAGAGGAAAATCTCTCTATAAGAAATTCAAAGGAGGTTTCAAGGAGTTATCTATCCATTAATCGAAAATGAAATCACTCTGAAGTTACAACTTTTTTTGAACTGAAACCCACAAAGTGTGCTCTACAAATTCATCCATCAAGCCTCCCTAGTCATATTTATCCCTCGTATATCAGTATATCCCACATGGTTCTATCCACACATCTAACTGAAAGAGTCATCATTTTTAGGATAGAATACTGACGTCCGAATTTCCTTACTCGATGGCCCCGATATTTCCCATTTTCCTTCGCTAAAGACATAATGGAGTGGCTTGGTTGAATGAAAAAGCAAACTCAAGTTACTTAAAAGGTCAAATTAGATGTAAACTGACAACATTGCATTTTACAAGTAAAGACAGAAGTGGTCCACCACTCTTCATCTGCTAAGCACCACAAATCTGGACAGAACTTAAAAGGTCAAATTAGATGTAAACTGACAACATTGCATTTTACAAGTAAAGACAGAAGCTGTGGTTCACCACTCTTCATCTGCTAAGCACCACAAATCTGGACAGACTTAAACAAATCCAATGTCCATTTTGTGGTGATGACGGGACTGATAGGTGCATCTGGACATCGTACCGACACTGAGATATGGAATCGAGCTTCAACATATAAAATGTAATAAACGGACGTTCTCTTGTTTGAAGCTGACAAATGTACACATCCTAAAGGCCCCTAAAATAGTTAATATCCAAAAAAAATCCTGACCCAATCTTCGCAGATGGTCTAACTCTGGTTTGTTTCTTTCTCCTCTCCATTTTATATGTTAACACATGGTGGAGATTACTCTTTAATTAACTGGCTTTAACATTGTTTTATGTTATAATTATTTGAGGCGAAACCGAAATTATTAAAATACTTCTGCAGACTTCCTCTGTAATACTGCTATAACGTACTTCTTTTTGTTTGCTTGCACCCAAATCAGTCATGCTGGTTCACCTTGAGGGGTACTGATTGGGCTTTCATTTTTGTGGCTCTCCTTTCTCTCTTGAAAGAAAGGAGTGGAAGTTTACCCAGGGGATAGTTTAATCTCTATCTATTACATCTACATTTTTTAAGTTAAAAAAGTAAGTTTTCATTTTTCAAAATTGCCCTTGTTATTGCAATATGAAATGAAAAGACAAAAAAATGACATTTATAGCATATCCCCAATTTCTTTCCACTGCACCCACCTTCTTCCCATCACACAATCATCCAACTGCCCATGCTCGAGTACTGGCGTGTTATTAAATTAAACCAAGTAATGGTGGCACATAAAAAAAAGAGACAACATTTGAATCGAGCAACATGAGCGTTTTGATTTTGGTGGTCAAGTGGTCTCCTATCGGTTTTCGAGCACCGTGACTAGTCCACCTCCCGGAGTGTTTTCAAGGGCGCAATCCCCTGTGAACTCCATTGCCGTCTAGAGAACACTTTATTGGTAAGTAAACAAAGAAACTTGGTAGTTTTAGCTTGACTTCGACATGGAAATTGAATACGGGAGGGGTCTAACGGACAAGGTAGTTGATGCATTTAGGGACGGGGCTGGCCTGGTAGCTTTTGGTGAGAGTGAACAACGTGGTAGCAATCAAGTGGCATGGACAGTGCGAGGGTACAAATTCACGCACATCTTGAGAATGATCCCACAGCAAGGAACCTTCTTGAGCTCATTAATGAAGGAATGACACTTCTTCTGAATGGGAACGATGGCTAATCATTGCCAAGGGGCACAGACCAGAATCATGAGGAGGACGCTGCTGTAAAATTAACGGGGACACCCATAAATCTTTCCATTTCGATTCATTTTCCAAATCAACCGAGAATAAGGCTATCTTCTTATTACTTTTATTGTCTTTATAAATATTTCGATAGCCCCATTTAAGTACATTTTAAACTAATTTACAGATATAACTAAATTCAACTAAGAAAGCACCGGACACAAAAAGTTGAAAATTTTATCTATCTATAAAATTAGGAACAAGATTTAAATTAATATAAGTACGAGAAATCTCGAGACAAATTAATATTGTTATAAAATATTCTCATGAAAACAGTTATTTGTAAAACAAAAGAAATATGAATCCAATATAACTGTAGATGAGGTAATATTTTTTACTATTATAAAGATCATAAGTTAAAAATATAATTAAATAGAATAGCACTTATATTTATATAGACCAAAATGGTAAAAAAGGTAATAATACGGTATCATATTTTTTATTGTTGATTCAGGAAATGAATTAAAACGAAAATGTATTCCAAAATCTGAGCAATAGTATAATTACGAAATCTTGTGCATATAATACCCGTTACCAAAGAACTGTTTTGGTTCTGTGATCGAGTTGAAAGCCTATATTGAACAAATTAAAAGTTTAAAGATTAGATCGAATATATAGAAATAGTTGAAGGATCATATTAAACCGATAAAAATTTAAAAATTCATTACATATTGGATTAAAGTTCATGCTTGATATAAATCTTATTTTCCCTAAAAACAAACGAGGCGCCGTGAGAGATCTCGTACATACATAGATAGGATAAGGCCCCGCCGTCTCCTACCATTCCACGGTCCCCACGACTCCACCAAGCTCGCCGTCCCACCTGCTCTTCCAGCTTGTTCCTGTTCTCTCATCGAAGCTCTCCGACCCCACGATAGCGTCTGCCCACCGTCGGAAACTCCCTTTCGGTTTCGCTCCGATCATCTCTCCGTTCTCCACGAGGCCCATTCCAGGTGTGCTGCAGAGTCACCACCGTCTTCTTGTTCCATCTTCCTTGCTCTTCTGCGGACACCCCCCCACCTGCTTCCAGTCTGGTGACTCGTCTCCCGGCTCTGTGAATCCCTTCTTCTTCCTTCCTTGTTCTTCTTCCCTTTCTTCCGTTTGTCCGATGGCTGCGAAGGTTGGGTCGTTCAGGCACAGCTTCTTGGAGAGGAGCAAGGAGAGGCTCCTCTCCCGAAAAGGGTACTCTGACCTCGACCTGAACGGCACGGACGGGGGCGATAATGGGGTCCAGTGCAGGTGCTTCAGGTGGATTTCGGATAGGGTTGTGAGCTGCTGGAGTTGGTTGCAGGGCGCCGCGGTTGGGCTGTACCAGATGGGTCGTTCCGATCCTCGGAAGGCCATCTTCGCCGCGAAGTTGGGCTTGTGTTTGGCCCTTGTTTCGCTGGTGATCTTCTTTAAAGAGCCTGTCGAGGATGTTAGCCAGTACTCCGTCTGGGCGATTCTTACTGTCGTGGTGGTCTTTGAGTTCAGCGTAGGTATTGGTTTTGTTGGTTTCAGCTCTTTCCTTTTCCGTTTTGGCCCTGTTTCTGCAGACTAAGGTTTGTGGTTCTTATGAATGAATCGCGCCGTTTTATTTTCAGCCCTATACTTTCTTCTTCTTTTTTTTTTTTTTGGGGGGCGGGCGGCTTTTCTGCGTATGGTTGTAGATTTGATTTTCAAAGTGTGTTGAGTTCATTTTTTGCTGTTGAAGAACGAGGGAAGATAGTGAAGGCTGTTCTGATTTCAATCTTTAGGTTCAACTCTGAACAGGGGATTTAATCGGGGTATTGGGACATTATCGGCCGGAAGTATTGCTCTCGGCATTGCAGAGCTATCGACCAAGACCGGTGATTTGCAGGAGTATATCCTTGTAATCAGCATCTTTATAGCAGGTTGGCATAGTTGGAATCGAGCTACTCAATATGTCTTGCGATGTCTCATTCTGATCTTATGGTATTCAGGATTTTGTTCCAGTTATGCTAAGCTTTACCCGGCCATGAAGCCATACGAATATGGGTGTCGGGTATTCTTGTTGACTTTCTGCATTGTGATGTTATCTGGGAGTTCTTCAACATTTTTCGAAACGGCTTTTTACCGGCTAGCGCTGATCGCCCTTGGAGCTGTCATATGTTTGGTTGTTAATACCTGTATATACCCAATCTGGGCTGGGGAGGACCTGCACAAATTGGTTGTCAAGAATTTCAAGGGTGTAGCTACTTCCTTGGAAGGTTTGATCAATCTCCTACATCTAGTACGATGGGTCTATTTTTTCTTTTTCTCATTCTATTAAGGGCGATTTTCATTCTTATCAATGAGCATTGATTTTATATCACCCAGCCATTCGACTTTTGATATTGTTTAAAGTTTACCACTCTGTCCAATTACCATTAAATGCAAAAACCAGTCGAAAATATCCTTTTCGAGTATGATTGCTAGCACTAAACTTGTGATATTGTTTCAATTTTTTCGTCTCAATATTTGACTGGCGGCAGTGATGGAATCAAAGTTCAGTGGTAAAAATAGAAACATCGCTAGAAAAGTCAAGGATCAACGTGGATATTTGCTCCCAATTCGGTATGATTACTAAACAAGAGAGCTCTGTGTGCTAATTTATATGGAAATTTTATTCAGGGTGTGTTACTGGATATTTGGACTGTGTGGAATATACTAGAGTTCCTTCGAAAATACTGACGTACCAAGCTTCTGATGACCTACTGTACAGTGGTTACAGAACAGCTGTACAATCTATCGGTCAAGAGGAATCACTGGTATGCTCTTGCCCGCTTCTTTTATCAGTTGGGAATCATAACCAACCTTTTGGTAATGGCAGTTAGATTTTGCGAGATGGGAACCACCACATGGCCCGTATAAGTCATTTAAATATCCTTGGAGAAACTACGTAGAAGTAAGTGGAGCTCTGAGGCATTGCGCTTTCATGGTGATGGCAATGCATGGCTGCATTCTCTCTGAAATACAGGTAATATTGTGCATTCTTGCTCGACCTCTTCTGATTTTTTTAATAATGATGCTGCTTCAGTGGTTGGTTGTGTCTGACGTAGTTTACCGCATGAATTCTTTAGCTCGTGTTTGTGTGGCATCTTTCTCCTTTGAGTTGCACTATATGTCTCCCATTTTGTGCTATGATGTTGAATGGGCAGCTTAATTCTGATGGAGTCTAAGACCCTAGAGGATGATTTCCATTCGCTGGTTATGCATATCGGCGTTTTCAGTGTATTCTTATCCCATTTCATTAGCAAGTAAATTATCGTTAGGAAAAAATTCTCATCAGGTCCTTACTTTTTGAAGGCACCGGCAGAAAAGAGAAAGGTTTTCAGGGATGTGCTTCAAAGGGTTGGCACTGAAGGAGCTAAGGTATTACTTGAGCTTGGAAGCAAGGTCGAACGGATGGAGAAATTAAGCCCCGGAGACATACTCTTACCAGTGCATGACGCAGCCGAAGAACTGCAAATGAAGATAGACGAGAATTCGTACCTCCTAGTTAATAAGGAGAGCTGGGAATCCACAGCGCAGCCCAAGGAACTCGAAGATTTGGAGAACATCCAAGATTCTAAAGATGCTGAAAATAGACAGAGAGTGATACATTCGTTGAGTGATATTTGTTTGGAAACACAGTACTCGAATGCAGCTGTCAACTCACTGCTTCCTGAATTTGTTTCCTCAGAGGGTACGATTAAGAGGGAGTCGTGGCCACGTCTCTCGTTTAGCGCAAATCCTTTGCCCAACGAAGAGCAGTCGAAAGTATATGAAAGTGCTAGCTCCTTATCTCTAGCAACATTTGCTTCACTTCTTATTGAGTTCGTTGCGAGGCTTCAAAATCTCGTGGATGAATTTCAAGAGCTCAGTGAGAAGGCAAATTTCAGAGATCCAGTGCCACTACCGGTGCCCAATGAAGACGTTGGCTTCTGGAGTAGGCTTCTGGGGCATTTCAGGTCCAAAAACTGAGACAGGTCAATCTTACTTCCTGGTCATATTTGATATAACGTTTGGAATTTTGTAAGTGTGATCAGACAATACATGGCTTTGCCTGTGTTTCCTTAAGAACGGAAACTAAGGTTGTGCCAAGAGGCCATCGTGCGAGGGTCTCTTACATGGTAACATAAGCTGGCTATTAGTCGGATTTTTTTGTCACTCCCCACGATCATATAGTGGGTTTTTTTGAACTTGAACTTTTGAGCAGAGCACATATGTCATGAATATGGGTAATTTGTATGACTGGATGATCGAATCGGCTTTGATCGTCGTGTCAAGCTATCAAGGTGAACAGAAAATGGAGAATAAATGGATGGTACCAAAAACGAAATTATGTTTCAGAGCTTGCCAAAGAAAATAGGGAAAGAAGGAAAAGAAGGGAAAGCTTCTGCTTCCTTTCGGTCTCATTATTAGAAAGATTTTGTTGAATTAGTTATCCTTTTCTATGGTTTTATCTGCTTCCTGCGCTCTGCATATTTCACAAAAGTTGTTCCATATAATGCGCTATTGTACTTTTCTTGGAGCAACTTTTGTTGAGGAACTAATTAGATGTATCGAAGAGAATGTCTCTGCCCACTAAGTGGAGTTTGTTAGATAGGCTACTGAAAACCCGATGCATATTAGTTTGTGGATCCAAATTCAGTAGATCGATAGTTCTTGTGCTAGTTCTCTTGCGTTCTTGCCGTGGTGGAAAGACATTGCATATGGTTTGGTTTCTCTCTGAGTGGCAGGCGAGCTGCAACATGAATTCTAATCATGGTAGTCTACTACATCTGGAAACTGCAAGAACGGTGGAATTTTTCAGCAAGTTAGTTTAGTCTCTGAATTATTTCGAATTGTCCAGTGTCATCGTTACATTAACATTGAAGAAAAGCCTCGCAATCAGAACAAAATCACTCATTTAACACAAGCAATGTCGTCGTCTTCATCAAGTTCTCAATTCAGACCACATGAAAGGGAATGAGTGAGTGATTGTTAGTTATGCCATGAAAGAAGACAATTAAGTATTCCATGACAGTTATTTAGCAAAGATTACAGTGTCACCTTTTTCGTTCTTGTCTTTGTATGAATTTTTCTGGGGCAAGAAACCCTAAGATCGCCATTGAAGAGAATCGAGTGGTTGAGAAGGATCATTTTATGTGACTGAGCAAAGAAACAACCATCTATCAATTTTGTTGGTCTGAAACGTGCCGAACAAGACTCAGTGGCAAGGGATGAAGAGTGAATGATGTAGTATTGATGATACAACTGGTTCATAAGAGTGATATCGGTGTGTTTGTGCTAGGAGTTCTAGGATAAAACAGTTATGATTCTAAGGTAGGGCTGACCTCCCGTGCACAAACTGATCAAGAGTTGATGTCGATCTCCTAATGAAGCTATGGCAGGCCAAAACCAGTTGTTTTACTGAAGTGTGTTTTGTATGTCTCGCTCAAAGGACTGGATGCCCAAGCTAAATTGGGCGTGGTATGATTCGATATGAGGATGTTATTTGCCGTACTATTTTTAGGAACAACTATAGAAGAAAGGCTGGCTTGGTGTCTCGGCTCACTAACACGGGCTATTCTGCAACCAAGAATCTGTCACCTCGTAAAAAATGGTATTAGAGTACAATCCCTCTAGTAAGTGGGTGATTTGGGGAAAGTCTATAGTCTATCCGTTCCTATGAGGGCGGGGAGTAATCGTTGGGGCTAGGAGGGCTCGGATAAGGCGCAACTCTCGTTTAGCTTCGAGGATGGCAATGGGGGACATAGGAATAAACTAAATTGCTCACCTAATAGGTAAAACGTTCCTGGATCAATGGACAAATCTCATGAGGACGTTTGCTGCCATGTTTCCAACAAGGAGGAAAACCTTCATTGGTCCGTTGAGATCAAGATAAGTTTAGTAGGCGAAAGAAAGTGTTGCCAAAGGAGTGCAGTTGACTCGAGATGCCATTGTTGCTAGGGAAAGCAAAAGTGACCAAAAAAGCGCAAACGACTTTGATTGGGGAAGCTACCAGTGGAGTGGACTAACATGTTCTGTTGGGTGAACGTTTCCATTTATGTAAGTCCCGAGGAAGTGGTGTTGCTGGTTGAGGAACACAAGGAAGCGAGAAAGCAGCCCACAACAAGAGCGTTGCGGAATTTGGTGAGGGAAAATGTCAAGGATCGAATTCTTTCATACCCTTGGGAGCTGATGAGTGGAGCTTTGTGGCATTAGGTTGAAGAGTGAGCGATGCAAAAGTGATGATACAACTAATTCGTAAGAGTGGCATTAATGTGTTTTTGCTAGGTGTTCTAGTATAGAATGGTCATAACTCTGAAGAGTTCTAAAGGCTGGGTTGGCCTCCCGTACGCACACTCGTCAAAAGTTGATACCGCTCTCCTGATGAGATCATGGTAGACCGAAATTAGTTGTTGTACTGAAGTGTTCTGTATATCTCGTTAGAGGGACTAGATGACCAAGCTAAATGTGATACGATTCGATACGACGATAAGATTCGTTATATTGTTCTTAGAAACAACTATAGAAAGAAGGCTGACTTAGTATTCTCAGCTCACTGAGCGCCGCTCAGGCTATTTCGCGGCCAAATATCTATCGGTTCGTGACATATTTACGAGAGGATGATATTACACATTAGACACCGTAACAATCTTTCAGCTTTTCGCTCTATAGGATATTATAGGAAGAGATAATCTTTCGTATACTAACGATGTGTGACCCTTACATAAGCGGGCCCACTTAATCACACGTCCTAACCTCTTTTTATTAATCACAATTATTTTCAGCACACTAATTAAAAAATTCCCTTGAAAAACTAATTGCTTCTAAAAAAGGAGGACTATTGACGATTGTTAACATTTTACTGCACGAAAATCATTCAGATCTCTTCTTTTTGATAACATTCATCAATCTATTAATCATAGTTAAATCAAAATTATATGACGTTGAAAGCATGATAGTTTTTGTTATTTTTCAATTTTTTTTCCACCTGCACTTATTAGATTGGGAATTATGTTGATTTTTTGTCATTTCATTGCCAAAAGTGCCGACACAAAGGGTGATGCCTTGCATGATCAATTCATGGGAGAATTACCAAAAAAGTCGAAATCTATTGCAATTGTGCCAATTCACTCTTAAACTATATTTTTTTTTTGCTAATTGAGTCATAAATTTTTTGCATTTGTACTAATTCAATCCATCAAGCCAATTTTAGCAGGCCGGCGTTGACTTAGACGCTAGCCAACGATGACACGAACATGTTTAATAATATTTTAATTTTTTTCTAATTATTTATTTATTTATTTACCTTTTTTTTCTTTTCTTTCTTTCTCTTTCTTTTTGTTTTTCTTCTTCCCTTCTACCTCCAACCGGTTGCTGGACCAAAGCGAGGGCCAGCGCTCGCCGGCCACTGGTGAGATCGACCTCGCCGTTGCTAAGCAAGCAAGGTCGGCCTCGCCATGGCTGGGTGAACCTTGCCAAATTTGGCGATGCTCGGCCTTGCCCAGCGACGGCGAGGATTGACCTCGCCATGGCTGGGTGAGCCCTCACTAGCCCGTGCTTTGGCTAGTCACTAAGGTCTCATGATCGGCTGGAGGTAGAACGAAGGGAAGAAGGAAAAAAAAAGAACAAGAAAGAAAGAAAAGAGAAAAAAGGAAAAGTAAAATAAAAAATAAATAAAAAATTCGAAAAAATTGTTAAAATATTTTTAAAGTTGTCCACATCATCGTCGCCAACTAGCCAAAATTGGTCGAATGGACTGAATTGACACAAATACAAAATGTTTAAGACTCAATTGGCAAAAAAAAAAAAAAAGGCCTATGACTAAATTGGTACAATTGTAATAGGTTTATGATCTTTTTGGTATTTTTCCTACAATTCATTCATGTTTGATTACCAAATAACTAGCACTCCACTATGAACATCTATTTAACTATTGTCATTATATCCCTTTTTTTTCTTTGGACTTTTTTGAAAGTTTATTTTCTAATTACAGTTTCAAAAATATTTTGTGGTTTAAAATCGATCTAACGTGCAAGAAGACTTCAAGATGTTTTCTTTCTTTTCAAAATTGGAAGATGTCAGTTTTTTTGTAAAAAAGAAACTTTAATTACAAAGGTACATGTATGCCCTCAGATTTTACAGCAGCAACATACATTAAGAACATACAGTAAGTTCTTTCAATTTTGATACTCTATACTTGATATTTCAACTTTAAAATATTCCTAATTTAGATTTTGTGACCATGTAAATGATCATGGGTAAGTTTACTTAGCGGTTATTATCAAAAGTTAGATTTATTTGTGCATCAACTTAAGATACCACCGGTACACCTTTATGGAAATAAGTTGCTACCAGGGTCGCATCGCTTTCAGATCAAGCGTCAATCCGATGCAGTGAAATTCTTTTAAGCCAAAGAAGATGGAACAAGGTCAACTTCGCTTATCAGAAAGGAGGTGCCCCAAGTGTTGATTCTCGATCATGAGTCAGGTCGGTAGATTTGTAACTCACTGCGGATGGAACTCAACACTGGAAGGAGTATGTGCCGGTGTGCCGATAGTGACCTGGCCGATGTTTGCTGAGCAATTCTATAACGAAAAGTTGGTCGCTCGAGTGCTAGGGATTGGGATTGGTGTTGGATCTAAAGGGTATGCTGAGTTTGGAGTTGGTGCAGATGTCGTAAGCAGAGATGATGTCGAGAAGGTGGCGAGATGAGTAAGGCAGAGGAAATGAGAAGAAGGGCAAAAGCGCTTGGCGAAAGGTCAGGAAGGTTGTTGGGGAAGGCGGATCATCTGACTCATTTCGACTTCATTGATCGATGAACTCAGGCAGCACAAGCTGCTCATGAATCAAGATGAAGCCTAGTCTAGTGTACCATTATGCTTTATTCCTTAATGTTTTCTCCATCCTTTCGTTGCGTCTGCTTTCATTTTAGGAGCTATTGCTGTAATGTCCAGTTCCTGCATTATTGCCTAACATCCTTGATGTGTGATGCCTTCACCGATAAATACTCGTATGCTATTTGGGAGACAAAGTCGGTGTTCTCGCTCTCTGCACGAATTAATTTAGAAGCACAAACAATTTTATTAAGTCTAAAATGGCTTAAATATGCTTCAATCTTCATTGACCATTTATTAATTATCCCAAGTGACTCTTCCTTGCACCAGAAAGAGTTGAGATTTCCGAATTGAGTGTTCCCTAGCCAATTCTTATTGGGGCCTCATCTTTTGTGCAATTGGTCATGGATGACGCATCTATTTTTAGTTTTTAAGGTTCTCAAACGAACTAGGTTACCTTGTAGTATTGCAGGGTTTGACAAGTAAATAGTTTCCTGTTTCAATGATCAGCCTATAACTTGCCA